CTCCCCCATAGAATATGCTCAAGAGATTCAGTGATTTCCTCAGGTAAGACTATTATTTATAGAGGTGAGCTCATTCAGAGAATGAAACACACACCAGGTGACTTAGGTTCCTAATCACCCAGACCATTACCAAATATTAAAAAGAGCATTCGCTGTGAACAACTTGGAAAAATTCATATGCCCAAGCACACTCATGAGAACTCTTTGTTGAAGGACTATGAGTACACAGATTTGGGGAAAGCCTAATACAGAGGTAGGAGTGGAGGTGGTCAAATCTGATGAACATGTTGTTTGACCAGCTCATCAAGTGATCCCCTGAGATAACTTATCCCTAGGGCAAAGGAAATAAACCTGTCAGGTAACCCAGTAAGCAGCATTTGTGATCTGACCAACTGTATCCCCACATCAGAAGCTCCTCAAAGAGTTTGCTTAAGAGACAGGTTGGACATTACACAATAGTCTGAAGTCACCAGACACACAGAACAAGCCCATAAGGGCACGTCCGCTCTGCCAGTCAATTTTGGAAAGAAAGTCTGAACAGGCTGTTACAGAACCAAGTGGCTACATGGGCTGGCTTGATTCAGTGGACCAAGAACCCCATGTCACAGGTATAGAGGTGTTCAGGCTGCATTTCTTGCTCATGAGATCCTGGCAGCCATTCCAGTCCTAGAACATCAGCAGAATGTCTGCAATGCAATCCACCCACATGGTCAGGATAGATTCCATTCATCTCCTCCCTTAAATCTCATAGGCTTTGCCCAGAGTGAATTTCACTCACAGACACAGCAGCATAAGATGTGTAAGGCATCGTGTCTACAGCCATACAAACAGCAAGTTAATTTTGCATTCAACACAATGAAGTTTAGGCAGTGCTGCTACTAGGATGCGAATATGTACATGGGTAACTAATGAGCCTGGGCTCATGTGTGAGAGGAGCCAGCTTTTAAGCTGGTTTTCCATGTGTACCAGCTCCTTCAGGACCACCTCTCCTCCCCTTCCCACCACTGCTGCCTCTGATACAGAAGCCAACAGCATGGAGGGGTGTGACAAGTGGCTCTGCAGGAACTGCCCCCACCCCCACATAAACGTGAAACTGTTGAAATTTTCAGCAGTTACATGTTTACCTAAATAAATGCATTTTAACATCCCTAGCCGTAACTAGGCATTTTTGTGACCCCCTATTGTTTTTTCCCCGCCCCATCCTTCCACCCTGAGTGGCTGGCCCACACGATCCAGCATTCACTACATTATAAAAACCACTGAAAACGAGGTAGGGATGGGGAGACACGAAGCTGAAAGAGCATACATACCCCAGGAAGAAATGTAAAAAAGTTGTATTTCTGATTGTTGATTACATTGCGAGGGTATCTCTGGTCTCTTTTTTCTGGGTGGCCAAGCCAAACCGTACGAGGCCTTGGGTCTCTTCTTCCGCAGCATCTCATACACTCACAACACCTATTGGAAGAACAGATGTAATGTATTAAAAGTCTCCATGATCCAGCTGACATCCCCTGCCCTCATTTACCCCAAAAACCCACATATTTTCCACAAAGCATATTAAACACTTGTTGCTCCCCAACAAAGTGCTATATAAACCCAAATAAAAACTACAGGTGCACATTGAGCTTTGCTGCTAGTTCAAATCACTTGCCAATTTCCCCTTTTCACACCTTCCCTTTTTCTAAAGGCAATGGTATGCAGAAAGGGTGCAGCCAGTTTCTCCTAAGGGGTACTGCAGCCCACTATAGCAAGAGCGGCCTGGCCAAACTTTTTACTGGAGGGGCAGTTTTTTTTCTAACACTTTTCTAACACTTCCCCACCCTCAGCCCACTCCTGCACCCATTTGTCATCACAGGTGGTTGGCTGGTGGTCCGCAGAAAGGTTTGCATTCAAACCCTGGCCAAAAAGTTTGAGAACCACTGAGGGTATGTCTACACTACCACCCTAGTTCGAACTAGGGTGGTAGTGTAGACATACCCTCAGTGGTTCTCAAACTTTTTGGCCAGGGTTTGAATGCAAACCTTTCTGCGGACCACCAGCCAACCACCTGTGATGACAAATGGGTGCAGGAGTGGGCTGAGGGTGGGGAAGTGTTAGAAAAGTGTTAGAAAAAAAACTGCCCCTCCAGTAAAAAGTTTGGCCAGGCCGCTCTTGCTATAGTGGGCTGCAGTACCCCTTAGGAGAAACTGGCTGCACCCTTTCTGCATACCATTGCCTTTAGAAAAAGGGAAGGTGTGAAAAGGGGAAAATAGCCTTAGACCAGTGGTCTCCAACCTTTTTACACCAAAGATCACTTTTTAAATCTCAGAACAGGCGAAGATCTACCACCCCGCCCCTTCCTTGAAGCCCCGCCCCCTCTATTCTCCTCCTGTCCATCACTTGCTATCCCCAACCCTTACTTACACACTCTGATAAACAGTTTATTTTTAAATTATGCGATACGTAAAATTAAAATCACATGTTTATAGTTATGAAATAAATGGTCTGTTTTTCATTCATGCTATTTAAATCTCAAATGAAGCATTTATAATTATACATTTTGTGGGGTCAGAGTTCTGCAGCTAGGAGCAGAGGAGAGGGAACAGGGTGCTGGGAGGGCAGAGGACAGGGTTCTGCAGTAAGGGACAGGGTGCCAGTGGGGACAGAGTTTGGGGGAGTGGGGACAGGAATGGGGACAGAGTTCTGTAGCTGGGGACAGGGGAGTAGGGTAGGGGGAGTGCTTATACGCCAATAAATCTGTTAGTCTATAAGATGCCACAGGACTCCTCGTCGCTTTTGCAGATCCAGACTAACACGGCTACCCCCTGATACCTGAAAATCTAAATGCAGGAAACCATTATATTTAGACTTACTATACTTTGAGTTTTCTATTTATGTTCCATGGTCTCTTGTTTTCATGATAGATTCGAGCTGCTAATCTCAGTGGAGACTGCTCGCTTGTAAATGAAATTACCAGATTTAAATTCGGATTAAAACAGCACCATCAGGTAAAGAAGAATGTACCTTGTCAATAATACTGATCTATGTTAAGGAACAATTAAGTAAGACTATGATAAGTGTACAAAGCCAATCAAACAATACACCAATGCTTATTAAATTCCTAGCCATAATCTTGCCCACCTACTCATCCACCCACTCAAACCTAACTGTCTGCTCCTACTCCCTAAAACCCACATTCTCCCATCCAGCTCCTTTGGCTTCAGTCCTTTTCCTTTTTGAGGAAGAACAGCTTTTGTGCAAGAGGGGGTTTTTGTGCAAAAAGGAGCTATCTACACTGCTCTTTTTTGCACAAAAGCCTCTTGTGCAAAAATGCCTGCTCATTAATTATGCAAATGAAGTGTGGTGATATTCCATGCCAAGCTTCATTTGCATGCGGTTTTCTGCAAGGCTACAGTGTAGACCAGTGGTTCCCAACCCTTTCCAGATGGGGACCCAATTTGACAATTAAAGACTACTTGGTGACCCAAGGCAATTCAAAAACAAGGGGAGGAGGAAGGGAAGAGCCACCTGGGGAGACACTTGGCGACCCTTTTGAAATGTAATGGTGACCCATAGGTTGGGAAACCCTGGTGTAGACCTAGCCTTAGCTTCCCCTTCCTCAAGTCTTACTGCTCTAGTCCAGACTACGGGACTAAACTTGAATAAATCTGTTCCTGACTGATCTAGAGCAGCGGTTACTAATGGTGGCTTGGGGGTTGTGGGGGGGTGTGTGGGGGGGTGGGGGGGGGGGGGAAATGGGTGGTGGGGGTGCCCGAACGCCTCGCGATCGACCAGTCGATTGCGATCGACGGGTTGGTGACCACGGCCTTAGACTCTCCCACCTGTCACCTTGGTGTGAGAACTGCGAGGCTTACCTGGTCACATGAAACCTGCACAGTTTCACCCCAACCCCAGGGACACAGACCCCCACTTGGTGACCGTTGGGCCATATATGGTAATATGCAAGTGTGGGAAAGCGATGTGCAGATTTAGGGATAAATACCCATTGCACAATTCACTCGAGGAGGTCTTCGCAACACATGTACCACCGTGCGTGTGCCTTCCCATATACTTCAAAGCGCTGCCGGCCTGATCAACCGACCAGCCACCTCCCCCGACTCTCGGGTGTAACCAAGGCCTTTGCAACCGAACCGATATCTTAGAAATGTTCTGTGTGCTGTGTAAGTTGGTATGTATGATTTGCTTTTCTTCATTGAATAAGCTTAGTGTTGTAGTTCTTTTTGAGTAGTACATAGAGTTTTTAGTTACCACTGTTATTTAATTAGTGTACCTGGATATCTTTTATTCCCCTTGCCATTCCCATCCTTATATTTCTGACACGTTTAACTAGAAATCATAGAATAAATATAATGAATACGGTAAAATCATTACTGACATGGTCAATTAAAAATCTTAGAATAAATACTATAAATTCATCACTGTCATAAATAAATATCTTTTATTTACTAAAACGGTCCACCTGGTTCTGTCCTCCCCCCCTTGGGTATGAATCATTGGACCTGTGGTTCTTGCGACAAAGTAGGGGGCAGGAGAGAGCTGAGCCAATGGGAGCAGTGGGGAAAACCTTCAGGCACGCGCTTTCCTGCGCTGCCATCCCCCAACCACTTCCTCCCCCACAAGCTATATCCAGACCATGAGGCTCCCTCCTCCCTCCCATCCTCCCTTGCCGCAGCAGGAAGCTGGTGCTAGTGCACCAACTTCACCAGGGAGAGGGGGCCTATGGCTGGAGCGCCAGTGAAGGCTCTCTGCTCGGGGGGCGGGGGAAAGGGGGCAAAAGTCCCGAGCCTGCAGGCCATCTTCAAAATGGTTGCAGACCACACTTTGAGAATGACTGTTCTATCTGTTCACCATCAATGTAGATTATAAGAATATTGGGGCTGAGATTGAGACACTTTATTGGTCTGCAAAGCACCTCGAAGATTTGAGGCACTAAGGGCCTGAGCCAAAGCCCATTAATGGAAATATTTCCATAAGCAATGGATAAGGCGCTATATAAATTGCCTTGGGGGGTAGCCGAATAAGTCTGTACAGGATAAACTTTAAAAAAGCCCAACCAATAGTCTGGTAGCACTTTAAAGACTAACAAAGCATGTAAATCTACATGTTTTGTTAGTCTTTAAAGTGCTACCAGACTATTGGTTGTTTCTTAAAGTTTATATAAACTCCATTACTTTTAATGCAGCATTTCTATGCTACTTTATATGTTCAAAGCACTGTATAGCCATTAACTAGTTAACCCTCTTTAACATCCCTGACAAGTGGGTATGCATTATTATTCCACTTTTAGATGTGAGGAAGCAAACACTGAGAGAGAATGTGACTCAACCAAGTCCACAGTTGCATTAACTTATCTCTTTGGAGACTAGATTAGATTGGATACATCTGAGGAATTTTAATTTGAAATTCATTTTCGCCTATCACTCCTAGATTGGAGTTTCACATATTACCATGAAGAGATCACAGACTGATGCAGCCTTAGACAGAAGGGACTCACAGAGCAAAGGATTCTGATTTTGTTTTGTCCTTTTCTGTCAAAACAAGTTTCTAGAACTAAGGAAATACAGGGTAGAAGGGACTCTCTGCACTCATCCTATTGCAGGATCTAGGCCTGAGTGACAAAACTACTCCAACTATACTAAAAGAATCGCTGCTTCTCATTGTTTTACTTCCTAGGACAGTGTTGCGTGAAGACCCACATGAACAAAAGGGGGAGTGAACTGGCTATGCATGACTAAGTTTTTTTAACTATGCATTGAAAGCAGTAGAAATGTAAACAAAATGTTGTTAAATTCCCCAAACAAACAAACTGAAAGACGCTCCTGGGGATAGCCGAGTTTGTCTGCACAGGATAAACTTAAAAAACAACAAATGGTCTGGTAGCACTTTATAGACTAATAAAACACGGAGATGGTAACATGAGCTTTTGTAGGCACAGCCCACTTCTTCAGATGACCAGAGTTACACTTGGACTGTGTCTAGACTGGCCACTTTTTCTGGAAAAGCAGCCACTTTTCTGGAAAAAACTTGCCAGCTGTCTACACTGGCCGCTTGAATTTCCGCAAAAGCACTGACGATCTCATGTAAGATTGTCAGTGTTTTTGTGGAAATACTATGCTGCTCCCGTTCGGGCAAAAGTCTTTTTCCGAAAAACTTTTGCACAAAAGGGCCAGAGTAGACAGCAGAGATTTGTTTTCCGCAAAAAAGCCCCGATCGCGAAAATGACTTTTGTGGAAAAAAGTGCTTTTGTGGAAAAGCGTCCTGCCAATCTAGATGCGCTTTTCCGAAAATGCTTTTAACGGAAAACTTTTCCATTAAAAGCATTTCCGAAAAATCATGCCAGTCTAGACGTAGCCTTGCTGTGTCCATGAAAGCTCATGATACCATCTCCATGTTTTGTTAGTCTATAAAGTGCTACCAGACCATTTGTTTAAGTTTTAACTGAAAGAAATACAGAT